GGGTGCCGGTTTTTTGGCCGGGAGGGGGCTGGCGAGACCCCGATGGGCTGACCAGGACTCTGGGAGCCCAGCCAGGGCCCCTGGGGACTGCCTGCCGCCTCACAGCGCTGCAGCTGAGCTCCGCCGGGGTTTTTAGATGGTGGACATGGGCTGGAGCTAGGGTGGGGACCTCCCGGAGAGCAGCGACCAGAAACTGCAGCTGCTGGGGAATGTCAGGGTGCATGGGCCTGGGGCCTGGTGGGCTGCTGGGCCCAGCCATGACCCTCCCCGAGCTGCCCAGTGGTGCCCTCAGTGCTGCTCTTTGGAGAGGGAGGAAATATTTTTCACCCCAGTATTGGTACTGGTCTCATCTCTCTGTTTGTGTGTAGCGCTTGCTGGTAGCGCAAGCACCAGTCTTGGGTATCCAGGTATTCAAATGCAACCTAGAGCTTTTCTGCGGAAGTAGGTAAATGCAGCGGTGGTTCAGGAAGATTGAATGTGTGTGCTGTATATAAAGACTGAATTCTTAACACCCGAGGGAGGCTCTCGGCCTTCACTGTTCCTGTGTTTCACCAAAGCAGCTCTCGATTCTTCAAGAACCTCAGTATATATTGCAGCTTTGCTTTTCTTTTCTTTCAGAGGTTGAATTCGCTTCAGGAACTTCAGCTGCTTGAGATCATGTGCAATTATTTCCAAGAGCAAACCAAGGATTCAGTCCGGCAGATCATTTTCTCGACTCTCTTCAGCCCTCAAGGAAACAAAGCAGATGACAGCAGGATGGCCTTACTGGGAAAGCTGGTTTCCATGGCAGTGGCTGTGTGCAGGGTTCCTGTTCTGGAGTGTGCTGCCTTCTGGCTGCAGGTACAACTGCTGTGCGGGCAGGGCAGTCTCGGGGACGGCGCGAGGCAGCATGCCACTGTGGGTATGGGTGAGCTGAGGCAGAGAGTGTCACCTAAGTGTTGGTGACAGCTGGTTGCCATCAGCTGCTTCTCCATGGCAGTTTAAGCTGCTACAACAGCTGGCTGCTGCAGCTGCCTTCACCCCATGTCTGCGCTCGTGTCCATTCCTTTGCTCCAGCATAAAGGTAGAGCTTTTGCAAATCCATGTATGCGCTGTGCTGGCAGAAGAAGATTTGGGGTTTTTTTACTGTCGATGAAAATGGTATTGATTTTTTTCCTTCCCCTGCAGCATGTTGAAAGGGATCAGTGGAGGCTTTGACCAACACAGGGAACAAAACTGTGGCAGTTAATGGTCGCCTTGCCCAAAGAAGGTGCCTCTGGAGTTTGGGAAGTAAACTGTGCCTGATGATGCAAGTTTGGGCATGGCAGAGGAGGCAGACCTCTATTAAGATTTGGGCACAAAATAGCTGCATCTGTTGCAGTCTTCCGTGGACACAGTTATGTCAGGGATCTCCTCTGTCTCCTCCTTTCCCACTGAGATTCCCCACTGTGGACCTTTGGAAGCGCATCTTTGTTCCCGCTGCCATTGCGGGATGTGCAGAAGTCACCTGTGTTACAGGAGGGGACGAGCAGAAAGGCTGTGCTGGGAGGGAAGCATGGTAGGAGGCAGAGCAGTACGGTTTCTGTGGGGTCCCTTTTTTCCCACCTGATGAGCGTTGGTGGAGGAGGAGGGGATGTCACCTGGAGAGCAGAAGAAGGTGTAGTTTTTTGCAGGTCACAGCTCTGGAGTGACATGAAGACTGCACAGAATTTTTCCACATTAAAAACATCAAGTGTAACCGAGGGGTTGCTGAACTAGTTGTTCTGATACTGAATTAGTTGCACTACAGAACTATGTTACTGAAGTAGTAAAAAAATCTCCATGTGAGTCAAATTATTATTATTATGTAAAAGGCTTTAATTCTAAATTACAGATATTGTAAACACAAAATATCACCATCTATTTTAGTATTGTGAAATGGTAATTTTGTTTGTCTGAGTGAATCTCTGACATGCAGGGAGAGAGAGGGAAAGTGCGCTTTAATTTTGGGAAAGTGGAAACGAATGTTGAAGCAGCGAAGCGGCTGGGGGGGGGGGGCAGGCAGAGGGCTTGGGCATCGAAACTTTGAAGTCAGCTCTGTAGAACTCTCTGCGACTGGGCTTAATCCGCTTTTCCCTGTGTGCCATCCCGCACCCCTGCAGCGAACCCCTGCCGTCTACTGCGTGAGGCTAGCCCGAGCCTTGGTCGATGACTACTGCAACTTGCTGCCAGGGTCCATCCAGACGCTGAAGCAGATATTCAGTGCCAGCCCTCGCTTCTGCTGCCAGTTCATTACATCCGTCACAGCGCTCTATGACCTCTCTTCAGGTAAGTGTTTCCCACCTGTGTCTTTTGAAGTAAGCAATGCAGAGTAATGCAACACAAATTAACTGTTGCAAGAGAATGAACTGCTGAAATTCTGAGGATGCTTGTTGCCATGTAATTATTGCCAGAAGCGGCTCAGGGGTGTGGCTGTTGCATCATCTGTCCCTGGGATGTGAATAAAAATAACGACTTGCTGGCTGAAGGGAGAGGCTTTGCTGGAGAAGCAGCTGGATAACGCCAGACACAAAGGGCAGCGTCCTCCACGGAGGGCAAAGGGCACGGACACCGTACTTATTGATTGGTTTTAGGAGTGAAAGCTGATCTGCCTAGGCTGGGCAGCGTGGCGTCCCTGTTGTGTGTCACCTACCCAGTGTATGGGCTTTGTCAGTCCCAATTCCTTCCGAAAAGGGGGTAAGATGCAAATTCTGAGCATTTGCAAGCTGGAGCGGGATTTCTATTGAGCAGTGACAAGAAGAGCAATCGACAGCGTACCTCCGGTGTGCTCTTTAACTGCCTGTGAGACCAGCTAGTGATATGACCTATAGGTGGTGGTTGCTCCGACACTAGAAACGTGTAGGTGTCTAAAATAAGATCGACTTACCTCTGTTTTGCAAGAGGGACAGATAGCTGTTGGTAGAGTAGGGCACAACCACATGCTAAATACCAACATCAAAAAAGCAAACGCTATTTGTTACTGATAAAGGAAATGTTTTGCACTGTCTTCTCCAGATAAGCAGCTTCTCGCTATTGAGAGAGAGGTGCAGGCTTAGGCTTTTTTGTTAAAAAAGTATTTGGTAGACCTTGTAGCATATTCCTGCTCACTATTTTGTATCTGTTTTGTGCAACCACTTCGAAATTCATCCGACTAATTAAAAGACATGTCAGAAAGGAAATAACAGGAGTTATAGGAAGTAATTTTTTTTAATTCCTTTGTTTATTTGAGATGTTATTGATGACGCAAGAAAAGGAAGCTTACTCTTCAAAGAGCAATCTGTAACTGGGCAGTCTCCACCATGTCCTGAGGACAGGAGTCGATCACATAAATAGCAGCATCTGTGATACTTGGGGCTCTCAGAAAAGCTAAAAACTGGAAAATACCGATTCTGTATCGAGTGCGCCTTAGTAGTTCTGTAGTCCAGGTGATTTGTCATGATAAGTCATGTCCGGTACAAAAGACCTGGCCAGATAGTTCTGTGCTGAGCCCTTTGTTGACACTGTACACAGCCCACAAAGTACGTCGCTCGATTCGGTTGCCTGCCCCTGTGACGGGATCATGCACGATGACTGTGAAGTCAGTGTTTCTCTTGTCTGTAGTGAAAGCTTCAGCTCATGACCGCCTTTCACTTCTTACTTCAAGCTTTACATAATCATATAATCCTTTGCCTGTCGTGTGATTGTGTTGTTGTGTTAAATTTTTCTGAGACGTGCTTATTTAGGTAAGTCTTAAAGAAAGTGAGTTGATTGATTGTGGTGCAGAGAATGAAGTGCCAGCAAGTTTTACCAGTTTGCTTGCCCATTGTACTTCCTGTGGCAAGGGATAAATGGAGACTGAGTTTAGAGAAGAAATGAGCAGATGATGGGTGGGAGAGAAGAAAATGACCAAAGAAGCTTGGCTGAGAATGGGGATCACAGAATCACAGAATGTTTGGGGTTGGAAGGGACCTCTGTGGGTCTTCTAGTCCAACCCCTCTGCCGAAGCAGGGTCACCTACAGCAGGCTGCACAGGACCTTGTCCAGGCGGGTCTTGAATATCTCCAGAGAAGGAGACTCCACAACCTCCCTGGGCAGCCTGTTCCAGTGCTCCGTCACCCTCGGAGTGAAGAAGTTCTTCCAACTGTTTAGCTGCTGCTATTATGGCAGCAGTAAACACCTTCCCACAGCTGGCTGAAGTCCAGCGCTGGCATCGGCCCCACGGTTGGGACACAGCCCGTGGCCCGGGGCCACCCTGCCGATGCCGGGTGGCCGCCTCTCCCC